CTTGATTTATATTCTGTAAAGTAAAAGATTCTTATGGAATTTAAATTTTTTTATAAATGGGAAGTCGGCCTGGTTGTGACCCAATTTCACACATTCTCACAGCGTGTCTGAGATATAGGATTTCACCTAAAAGTGGGCGGTCCCACGCCCGTTTTCCAATTGTGTTTTTAACCCATTCTTTAGGTTCATATACGAGCAACACTTCAAGCTCTTAAGCTGTAATTTTTTGGCTGTGTACTTTTATGTTTTTATTTTAAAAAATTCTTGAAGTTTAATTGATTTTTTTTACCGTGTTAATACAATTTTTAGTGATTTAACTCTGAGTTGCAAGATAAATATTAAATGTTCTTAAGTTTTGTGCAGTATTAAAAAGTTTAAACTTTCGAATTTTTGGTGCCGAGTCATCTTTTTGTTTCATTTTGTTTTATTTTCTCATTTACTTCTTTATTCACAGCTGTGTTGCGTTTAGCTTTTTATTTGTTACAGTGCTTCTAAAACTGCTCGCTATATTGCTTTTTCAAACTGTCTTGGTGGTTTTAAACTTTGATAAAAAAAAATTGTTATTATTTTTGCGTTTGTTTTTAATTGAATTTATTATTATTACTATTTTATTAACACACTAATTTAATATATATCTATTAAATTTTGTTCTACTTACTATTTTATTTGATCTTCATTATTATGTCTTGTAACTTCCCCAATTGTAACATTAAAGGCGAGTTAGATCGCTACGTTTCATGCTGGCTTTGTGATGGGCTTGCCCATATCAAATGTGCTGGACTGACAGGTAGAATCTTAGATTCTATTCTCGACTGTAAGGGATTGCGTTGGTCTTGTTTAAATTGTAGATCTATTGAAATCGATCTATTTAAAGTTTATAGGGAGACACGCAATGGCTTTAATGAAATCGGTCGAGATCTTGTAACCCTCACTGAAAAATTTAGGCTCTACGAAAAGTTGTTCAAATCTTTTAAGTGCCTGAATGATTCGCATGAATCCTCCAAAACTGCTCCTAAGCGTAAACGTCCTTCCGATGAAGTAACACTTAGTTCTTCTGTACAGAAAAGAACGTCTCCGCCCAATGACCTAATAAATCTCTCTTCTCCTTGCCCTCAAGGTGATAAGCCGTCAACATCCAAAGAGCTCAATTCCCCAAAAGCTCTATCTAATAGTAATAAGTGTCTTACAATTCCAGGGGCTCCACCTATTAACTTAGTAGCATCAGTTAATAATTTGATAGTTATTCATCCTAGAAAGTCTATATTTATTTCGAGACTTGCCAAAGATACCTTGGTGGAGGATATTAAATCTTATATTTCGTCACGTTTAAAAATCGATGATATCAATATCCGTAAATTTAACTTCAATTATGATAGAAGTATATCTTCGTTTAAAGTAGACGTAACATTCTTGACTTGAAACATTCAAAAAGATCTTAGATAGTTCATTCTGGCCACCTGGGGCTTTTGTACGCGAATTTAAACCTAAACTTAGAAATCAAACTGAGGAAAACATTGTTAAATTACCAAAAGTAACTACCGATATAAAAAACTGATTGGTAAAAATTCGTTAAGCATTTATTATCAAAATGTTTGAGGTCTTAATACAAAATTAACCAACTTGTATTTGAACAGTTCCAATTTTAATTTCCATATAATTGGATTTACAGAAACTTGGTTAAAACCTCACATTTTTGATAATGAGACTTTAAACTGCGAGTTTAAAATTTTTAGATGTGATCGACTAAACAGAATCGGTGGAGGTGTTCTATTTGCCGTGCATTCCTCTATCCCATCTGAAAATATTCTTGTTTCAGGGACCGACTCATTTGAATTTAAATGTATTAGAGTATACGTTAATAGTTGCTTTATTTATTTAACCCTATCTTATATACCACCCCATTCGGACTTATCTGTATACATGCAGCATGCTTCTTTAATCAATAGTACTACCTCGATGGCAAATAATGCAGATTCAATAATTGTATTAGGTGATTTCAATTTACCGTGTGCTTCGTGGTAACCTTTCGATGCCTATATCGTGCCGATTTGCAATCGGTCATGTTTTAATGAGTTTTTCGAAAAAATGTCCGATTTGGATCTGAACCAAATTAATTTCATTCCGAATAAATTTGGTAAATGATTAGATTTAGTATACGTTGATACCTCTTCAAAGTGTTCCGTTATTTAGAGTAATCCTTTTGTTCTGCCAGAGGACTCATATCATCCTGCTTTGGAAACATCTGTCGAAATCTCAGGCAATGTACGGGATAATAATCATCAAACTTCGTGCTTCTGTAATCGGTTTAACTTTGCAAAAGCTAATTTTAAAAAGTTAAATACAGAACTTTCTACAATAACATGGTCTAATTATAATGGTGACATTAAATTGAGTGTCTCTCATTTTAATAACATTATTATGAAATTATTTGAAAAGTATGTTCCACTAGTAATTGTTAATAAAAGCAAAAGTATAAGTCCGTGGTTTTCGAAAGAGTTACACAAATTGAAAAACAGAAAAACGAGCCTTTAAACATTTTAAAAAAAACCGGTTCACTTGTCGACTATTCTAAATATTCTCTATTGCGTCGACAATATTTTGACCTAAACAAAAAATGTTATAATAATTACTTAAATAAAGTAAAAAAGAATATTATAAGTAATCCAAAATCGTTTTATGATCTCGTCAACTCCAAACGCCGGATTTCCAAATATATTTACTTGCCTTTGACAAGGATATTTAATTCCTCTCTTAAACACGGTGGTCCTTCAATATGGAAACAGTTATTTATAATTCCTTTGCATAAAAGTGGATTTAGATCCAACATTGAAAACTATAAAGGTATCGCAAAACTATCAGTTATATCTAAACTTTTTGAAGCTATCATCACTGACATATAACCTTTTCGATATCTCCGTTAATTTCCTCATCTCAGCATGGATTTCGTAAAGGGAATTCGACTATAACAAACTTACTTGAATTTGTAAACCATGTATCATTGGGTTTTAGGGAACATAAGCATACGGATGTTATATACACAGACTTTAGCAAAGCTTTCGATAAAGTAAATCTCTAGATTCTCATACATAAACTTGATCTGCTGGGCTTTCAGCCAAGATTCCTTCAATGGGTATCTTCCTATCTTTATAATAGAACACAACGAGTTATATTTGAGGATACACCTTCAGATACAATTAATGTTTCTTCAGGTGTTTCGCAAGGTAGTCATCTTGACCCGATTCTGTTCTTGTTGTTTATTAACGATATCTCTTCAGTAATAAAATTCTCAAAAATTTTATTATACGCCGACTACGTAAAGCTTTTTAAATCATACACTTCAACTGATTAAAGGTGTCTGTTGCAAACAGACTTAAACAATGGTGTGATAGAAATGATTTGCCATTAAATCTCAATAAATGTAAGATGATGTGCTTTTCCCGTAGATCTGTGCACCACTCTTCTTATGTAATAAAACACCATATTATAGAGCAAGTTTTTAACTATTATGTTTATTTGGGAGTTAATATGGACCCTAAGCTTAATTTTAGTCTTCATATTGATACCATGGTCTTGAAAGCAAAAGCTGTCCTCAGTTTTGTTAAACGTTGGTCTAAAGAATTTAGAGATCCCTATATTACTAAAACACTTTATACTACTTGGTTAGACCTATATTGGAATATGGCTCTGTTGTATGGAACCCTAGCTACCAAATCCATTCTGACAAGTTAGAGTCTGTTCAAAAACAATTTTTACTTTTCGCCTCAGCGCATTTCCGATGGAATTCTAGGGTAAGTCTACATCCATACACTAGTCGTTTAAAACTTATTAATCTACCTACACTTTCTAGTCGTCCCGGTTCGCCTTTCGAGGCAGTTTAGACCTTTACTGCTAAAATCCTGTAGATCAAATTTTGAACTAAACGAGCCATTCCGCCGTATATGTCATGATTTTAATTCTCATTCCAGCACATTTGACTTCTCTGACTCACTTTTCAAAATTAAAAAGACTTTATTGTTTTCTCTTAATAAATGAAAATGTAACAATTTATTATATTGTAACTTTAGATCTTGGCTGTTGAATTTTTTTTTCTGTAGCTGAGCAGTTTTAGATCTCAATACTTACAAAACTCTCTTGTCTTTTCTGACTCGGCTAATTCCGCACGTATGCGGATTGCGCTCCTCGCGTATGTTGGGCGAGAGGAGGGTAATCGTTGGGTTATTATTATTATTTTTACGCTAAATAAAGAAAAGTTTGAAGGACTTTCTTTGTACAAGTGTGGTTGAAATAGTACTAGTGGTTTGTGATATACTTGTATGCTTATTAAAGCTATTAGAGGGCGGGTCTACGACCAACCTGTACCAAATAACGATTTCGTATCTTAATTTGGAGCTTAGTTACAGCCCTTTGTATGTTTTTACTTAACGACATTTTGTGGGCGTGGCAATGGTCCGATTCCGCGCATCTTTAATTCTCCCTAGAACACGTGTACTATGTTTCATCAAGTTACCTCAAATTTGGTGTTGGATTGAACAATGATCCATGCCAAATTTCGTGAAAATGTCTTGTCAAATAAAAAAATGTTCCATGCAAAAACTTGATTTTGATCGATCAATCGTCCGATCTGAACAATTTGTTAACTGTAGGCTACGATGCAATACAATACGTAACGTAAATAAAATTGTAATAATAATAACAATAGCAGACACAACTTCGCTGTTGGCGAAATCAAGTAAAGTAGCGGTTAAGCAAAATAAAGGTAATTCATTAATGCACGTAAACAAGTTACAAATTGTCGAATCAGTAAAAGTTGTATTGTAAATAAGACTTTAGAAAAACATAGTTTTATGTTATAAATATCGTGAATTTAAAATAAGTATCATTAGTTCAGTAAAAAAGGTCTTCGAGCGGCAAAAAAGTTAATTTGGTCAGGTAAATTATTTTTTTAAGTTCCAAGATGTGTATACTTTTAAAACTAATATGTTTTAGCATTTAACACTTACGCAGCCTCCCAGCGATGTTGCGCATACTTAAGCAGTAAACTCTTGTCTGGATTTTGCTCACTCGCAAACAAACACGTTTTGTGGACTGCAGAAAAGTGAGCCAAATCAGCGCCGTTCTCAGGTATTTCTGAAGAGAGACAATTATACAATTATAACTATGTGCACCATGTTGCGAGAGTTTTACAAATGAATTTATTATAAAATGTAATGATATCAACATAATGTTACGCCCAAATTTCTGTCGTTTTTCTTTAGTGAATTAATACACTTTTATTACTTTTCAGCATAATCTTAAACGTCAAGCGGGCGTGTGGCCATTTGTAACGGCAGCGGTCGCGCGTAACCTGACCTATTGGATAAATTAGAGAAATAAAACACTACATAATCAATATAATTTATTGTTTTTATTATTAAGAACAATATTAATTGTTATAGGGCATGAATTTGTCGAAAAGAAGCTTAACTTTAGATAAAAACAAATTTATGAAATGAAAAAAAGAACTTAGCTTATCTTTGGATTAAAATCCCAGTTTAAGAAACAAAAAACCATCACAGGTGCTACAAACTAGCTATAAATATCTAGTAACTATAAATATCTAGCAACATACGCTAATAATTAAACTCGCCTCTTAATACTGATCATTTTGATATACAAAATAAATGAACAAAACTATTACACTCTTTGCATTAAGCTTAAGTACTACGATTGAAAATATGTTTCCACCCATTTTTTTTTAACTTACAGATTGACATATTTATTTAGTACAAATTTTCCTAGAATAAAGAAAATAATAATGTATGTACATAATGTAAATGGAGCTGCGACCCATGAAATAATTTCACACATATTCCCATTTTCGCCACCAAACTAAAAAACCTAATAGGGGTCGGTGTCACGGAAATTGCGCAATTTGTGCACAAATTCCTACTATGCCCTTAAATACCACATTGTCTGCAAAAATTAATAATTCTGAGATGCGTCTTTAGTGATTTATCGACTTACAGTTGTTATATGTGAGCTGGGCGTTGTTATTATTTTTACGATTTCGCTCATTTTCAGTATTATGAGATCTTCTTGTACTTCCTGCATTAGATCTTTTAAGGGGCGTGGCCACATCTAGCCGAATTTGCCTATTTACAGTGGCTACATCCAAAGGAAGCCAAAGAATAGATGTACTAAGTTTCATCAAAATCTCTCAAATTTAACTCAAGCTATGGCTTGCACGGACACACAGAACTCCGGAAGTCTCTCGTCCTCCTGATAGTCTATATATACAGGTGATCCAAACTATTATACCATGTTCCGACCAAACATTTTAAGTGATTAGACTATATTTAATCTATTCACTAATCTAGACTTGTCTCACAGATGTTTTTACTTAAAAGAATTAACATCTTTCAATATATCAATTATAATAATATATTGTTGTTGTAAATATTTTCCATTTAATGGAAATAATGGGCGCTTTTTTTGTTTTGGGAAGTCGATTTCCAGGCGAACTCAGATGCTTTGCTTTCAAATTATTTGTTTGTTTACATAATTTTTCTCTATGTAGTATCTAAAAAAGCTGTGATAATGTGATACATTTCCCTACTGACAAACAGATGGCGCTTTAGCAGAGTCGCACATAGATACTTCGAGTAGATTAGCTTCAAGTCTTTTCGGTGACGAGATTAACGGGTGACATATTGTATGGCGAAATCTCGCTTACTCTAGTAGATTAGTGAGATAATCTACTCAACCGTCTAAATCTTGTAATTAAGTGTCGATCGGAACATTGTATTATACTCTGTTGCATCATGTAGATAGAGTATCTAAATGGCATGAAATTTCGTTTTCACTCAAATTTTTTCATTAAAAAATATATATAATAATATTTTTTTTTAATTCAAGTTAATTATTTCAAAAATGGATTATGAAAGCTAAAATAACATATGAAATGTTTAATATCTATTTTATTAATTTTTCTGGTGAAAACTGCATCAATACTGGTCTCATCTTTTGTCGTTGGAATATTCTTACCATTAATAATTTCTAAAGAGAATTTATCTTTGAGAAATTGTAGTAATGGCGCAGCTTCTAGCAATGAAAAATTTAAATCACTCGCAAGAACAACCGGCTATTTATAATATTCTACGCGTTCTCCAATAACATAGTCCAGAGCATGTCAAACTAAATTCTATAATGGCAATAAAGCTTTTCAGATAAATAATTTGGAATACCTCATTGAAGCATTTGATGATAAATAAATAGTTATTAGAACTAATTGCTTACTACTGTTATCGTTGGGGTTGATTTTGCACTCAACTGCACATAAGTCTCTAATTCTTGCTGATGTTGATACCGTGACCGGTGTTGCTATCTATCGTAAAAATTTCCCGCCTGATCCTCTATAACCAGTGAAAGTACTGGAGATCGCTACATATGTTTTCCGCGAAATTGTAAATTTAAACACGTAACAAACAATCCCAGAAACAACCTCGACTCCGCTGCATCCACTGTAGACTCCTTTTCACCCACGACAAGCGACAGGCAGCTTCTGTCAAATATTATATTAAGTTACACACGTTATGGGCATAGTTATTTAGACAGCACACAAAGATGACGGCACGGCACCAAATTCTTGCACATTTTGAAGACAACAGCATCATATCAAACAGCTGATGTACCTAATTTCGTTGTTGCCGTACTAAAACCTATCACGTCAGTGAAATTTAAATATTTTGTTCAAAGTGAATTGTTTTGTGCAAAAAATAAGTAAATAGGTCGAATAATTTGTTAAATATTATTAATTGTTATTACATTACCAGCGCTATTTTCTGCTTCTCCTGGTAAAATAACATTAGAATTACCAGAGCATTGAATAATTTTACATTTCACATATTAGTGGCAACACTACAGCTGCCCGTTGTCGTAGGCAAAATTATAAATGGTTTTAACTTAGCGACTGCAGCAACTGCTGCTGCCGTAACGTCGTGTTGTATTCCACTAAATACTAATTTTAATTTATGCCATTGCCATATGTTTCAATTACGGGTGAATAAATATGAATTTTGGGTTTGTTAATTAAACTTTCAGGTTTTTATTGAAATATTGTTTACTTTTATATAAAATTCAACAAATTTGGTATACTACACTAATTTCTTTAGTTGAATAAATCCGCCAACTTCTTCCAAAACCACAGAAATTGTACAGGGTTTTCCAATAAGAGTGATACGATTTACAATAAAATACAAAAAAGCCCACTAATTGTTAAGGAAATTCAAAGGTTTTTTATTTATTATTTAATGTGAATAACAATCGACGCAATTAAGTTCTGAATATAACATACTTCAAATTGCCTCCACGATTTCTTTTGCAGGAACGAGTGCGATGAACCCAATTTTCGAGTACTTTTTCCACTAAATCGAGTCGTATGTCATAAATAGCACGTTCAGTACTGACTTCTTAAGCTTCTAAAGGTTTATTGCTAAATACCAATGACTTCAAATAACCGCACAAGAAGTAGTCCAATGGTGTTAAATCACAACTTTTTGGGGCCATTCAATGTCACAATTGCTTGAAATTATCGTATATCCAAACTTTTCTCGCAATATTCGGTTGTTGCAAGTGCTGTGTGGCACGTAGCCCTGTCTTGTGGAAACCAGATGCTGTCGAGATCAACTTCTTCCAATTGCGGCCATAAAAAGTTGGTTATCGTCGATCTATACTACTCTCCATTGAGAGTAACGGTGCCACCACCTTCATTTAGAAAGAAGAGCAGACCGCTGATTCCACCAGACCAAAAGCCACATTAAACTGTTAATTGAGGTGAATGTAATGGTTGCACAACTCACCATAACATTAACGACCATAAACCGCAGAAACGCACGAAAGGTAGCAATTGGAGAACGATTATTTTGGTAGTGAAATTGAATAATTTGTAAACGTTGTTCTTGCGTATATCTTTCCATTAAAAAATTGCAGATCATGACATATTAAACGATACTTAGAAATCATACCACCCTTATTCGAAAACTCGATTTTTATAAGTCGGGACGGAGCAAACGTCATTCCCGGCTACCAATCGCAAAATCGCCCCATTCAGTGTATGCTTTGTTCAGCACACAATCAGCTTCTTATGTTACGACTTGTTTAAAGTAGTTGAGAATTACAAATAACAAGATATTAATAGAATAGCAGAATGAAAATTTAAGTGGATTCGGAATTGCTTAATAATTTTGCTGGTAGTTATGTACTTATGTATGTATTCCAGCTCACAGCTACCCTCTTTAGCATTCCTTTTCACTTTCAAATTCTTTGAACGGTTGCAAGAGCGCTCGGTTTCAAATGAATTCGTTAAAAATTTGAATTCTGTTATCTATTTTTTGTATGTAATATGCAAATATGTATGCAAAGAATAATAGAAATATTTTGAAAAATTGAAAATAAGGAGAAAATTAAGATATTCAGAAATATTCAATTTACATTTCTAATAACATATAGCGGTATTAAATGTAATAATATACCAGTATACATAAAAGAATTGTAATACAATTGCTAACTTTACTTTTTTATATTAACATAAAATATTAAGATGCTCTTATATTTATTTCTTTTAACCGCAAAAGAGTTATTTCGAATATTATTTTATTTAAAATGAGAATTGTAATTAATTCAAGGATGTTATTATAAATAAACAGACAAAAATATGGAGTAAAGAAATTATGAATTTTTAATACTTAAAGATTAGGAAATTCCTGTTATAAATTTGGCCTCGAAAATATTAGTAGCGGGTATTCAATACATTCTGGTGGATTAGGGAATTCCCGTCTTAAGTATTTCTTTGAAACCATAAAGCGTGTAGGTATTATGCATATTGTTCTACCATATTCATGGTAATTCATTGCAAGCAAAATGTGATACCATCATCCCAACATACAAATGAAATATGCAACACGCTCTAAGTGTTGCGCAGTCGAACCGCACAAATATTTACGAAAATTTTATGAAAAGGAATGACAGAAAAACTCGATTTAAGTTGCTGGACTCTTTTTGTTCGTGTGAATGCGCAGAGCGACACCAAGTATTTGTAGATGGTAAAGTCGTAAGGAAAATGAGGATACTTCAGCTAAATTTAAACCACTGTGCCTTACTAAG